AGGGTGATATTAATATGAATTGACACTACAAGTACAATGTGCTGGAGAGAGAGAGAGAGAGAGAGAGAGAGAGAGAGAGAATAAACAACGAGATTACACTATATTAGAATCATGGTGGTTGACAATAGAGAAAGTGACAATGAACGACAATGGAGTGACTTTAACAGATAGGGTCTGATTGTAGAGAGAGTGATGGTAAAGTGAATGATTGACGATAGAAAAAGAAAAAAAAAAAGAGTGGATAACAATAGTATAGAGATAATTGAAATTCGAGATGTCTTAACAACAAACCAACTTTCAATAGCTTAAAACTCAATCATAAATATATAAAGTGATCTATCCACAATTTTTTCAAAATTTTATTGTCCTTATAAAAAATTATATTTGACATTGGTTATATTTGATAGATGTTGATGAAAAGATTTCAAGAATATTAATTTTATTTTAAAAAAATGGACATACATGTGCTTTGGTGGCCTGTTTTTAGCAGCGTTTTTTAAAATGTCACTATTTTTAATATTTAACGGCGTTTTACAAACGTCGCATTTTTTTTAATTAAAACAGTGCCATTTCGTAAGTAGAAGACGTTTATAAACGCCTTCAAATGGTTATGTCTCACGCACTCCCTCTCTCTATCTTTTCACGCTTATTTTGAATCTTCAAATCTCAAGCGTTCTCTCTCTCTACTGTCTAAACCCCATTGATATCTCAGAGCCATTTTGAAACACATCGGTGATTCATTAAAGCTCCACTGTCTCAAAATCGAAATCGAAGTTCATCTCAGTGATTCAGATCGGTGAGCTCCACTGTGTGTGTGTGTGTATGCTTTCTAAACCCTAATTATCTTAGAGATTCAGCTCGGTGATTCAAAGATTCAGATCGGTCTCAGCGAAATAGATCAGTGATTCATTAGAGCCATTTCGAAGTTCTCTCTCGAAATCGAAGTTCATCTCAGTGATTCAAATCAGTGAGCTCCGCTCTCTTTCTCTCTCACTCTCTCTATAGACCTATCAGATTTGGTCCCCCCTCTCCATCAACGAATCCGGACGGCGGCTCTCCGGCGGTGGCCCGTTGTCTCTATTATCTGAAGAGTTTTGTTTTGCAACCTTAAATCTCCAAATCCCCTTCATTGGCAAAGAAAGAAAAGGTTAGAATTTTTTTATTATTTTTAATGGAATAATAGGCATACATTTGTTTTAATTAAGGTTTTGTGTTGGTTTGATTAAGGTTTTTGGGGAAAACATGTTTATTCTTTGTATGCCCAAACTCATGTGAATGGATTTTTTAGCATTGCAAGTGTTTGATAAAATGCTTCAATGAAATTATTTTTTTTAAAACTAATTAGATACATGTGAAGTTAGGAGTATGTTGTGATGAATGCCAAATACCTCTTGTGATGGTGTATTTTATAAACTGTAATTATTATTTTCATGCCTAGAATAGTATTACTTTGGAAATAGATATGCTTGGTTAATATATTTTAAATTCTCATTACATTTATGCCCATGTATATTTTTGTGTTCTTTAGGATTTGTGAAAAATAGTGATATATTAAATCTGTATTATGTTTATAGTGATATACTTTGTTATGGTGTTGGTTTCCTTTTCCAAAATCAAAGTTGAAAATACGGAAAAAAGCAGATATTAAGATATCAGATTCAGAAAAAAAATTCCAGGGAGGCTTTGGTGTGCAAATGACATGTGCGATTACTTTGCATGGTGAGTGCTTGCAAACCAACATGAAGCGGCTTGAGGCAAACCAATGAGCTATGAAATTGTTTTTGATGACAAGCATAGTGTGTACTGATTTTAGCATTACTTTAATGCTTAAGTGATTGTTGTAAGCTTATACATTTGGTTTTAGAATGTACAAGTTTTGTAGAATGGTTAATGAATTAATGAAATAGCTTGTGTTTGATTGTGTTTTTGTTTGTGATTCTGCTATCATTTCTGAATTGATATGAGGAGTGAAAAGTGAGTGAAGGTAGAAGGAAATTTATTTATTTTTTTTTAATTTTTTTATCTCAAATTTCACAACAATTCAATGTACACCCTACTCAGCATGGTTGAGAAGGTATTTATTCACCATGTGGTCAGATCTTATCTTGGGTTATGATCAGATCGGTTAGCTACTATACAACTTAAGCCTCTTATAGAATAATGTTACTCGGAGGTCGATGTTAAAATCCTATGGATATTTGCTCTATCATCTGCATGAGTAACCATGAAGATTTTACAGGATATAGAATATAGCTCAAGTTCCTCCTGCATCTGCGGTCTTTGTAACTACAAATTTGTCCCCATTATCCGAATAAAATTTTGCTACTTTTTTTTATCTTTAACCTATTACTGTGACTTTACCTTGAACGTAGATTGCTAGTAGTTTTGTTGGAAAAAGTGTTGAACTTGTTTAATTTAGGTTTTTGGCTGATCTTTACAACATGCCATTACTGCTCTTAAGAAAAGGGCATATTTGCTCAAGTATGGAAGAAGGGGGAAGCCTAAGTTTTGTCCCGTCCGACTGGCAAATGTAAGTTTGTTTGATGTTTCTAGATATCTATGTGCCTTTTGTACTTCTGTTCATTTATTTGACTGCCACCACAATCAATTGCAGCAAGAACAATCCTACTATAAAATGTGTATTATTTCATGTTGCTGCTACTGCTTTTGCATTGCTTTTTACTTGTTTTTCATGTAATGATAACTTGGAATTTTTAATTTATTATTATGTTATTTTTAAGTTCTAGAATCTGTAGTTGATATATCTTTATTTATGTCCACACTCGTAATTTAGTGACCTAAGCAAAAATTGATTCCAGTATTTCGCAGGAAAGCAAGGGTAACCAGGAGATCTCAAGATATTCACACCGTTTTTGTGGATAATCTACCGGAAACTTTAGAACCTAAGGGGCTGTTTTCACTGTTCTCTAAGTTTGGAGTAGTAATGGATGTTTACATCCCGATCAAGAGGAGAAAGGCAACAAGCTCACGCTTTGGTTTTGTCAGATATAATTGTCCAGTCGCGGCGAGAGTGGCTATTCAAAAGGCGCATGGCACTTGGTGTGAAAATCGCGAGATCAAGGTAAAGATGGCGGAGTTCAGCAAAGCCCAAAGCAAAAATGGGAAGCAGCGGGTGCTGCAGAGAGGCGTAGGTAATACAACCCATAGAAATCATGTCAGTATGCCCAGTATACGGAATACTGTACAAAGTTATGCCGATGTGGTAACTGGTACAAGGACTGCGAAGGACGAAAGGATAGTAGTTAAAGAAGAGGAATATGGAAATAGGTGGCTACATGAGAGCCTAGTTGCCAAACTCAAGCCTCTCTGCCTTGTATTTGATTTCAAAATAGAAGTGTCAAGCAGGTATGGATCTGATGCTCACGTTAGAGAGATTGGAGGCAAATCGGTGATTCTCTCTTTCAAATCAGAAAAGGCAATGAATAGTGCAAGAAAGGAGCTGGAACTTTGGACCCATGAATGGTGTGAGTTCATCACACATTGGACCAAGGACACAGTCATTGAGCATGAAAGGGAGGTATGGATTAGCTGTTATGGAGTACCCCTCAATCTCTGGAACTCTATCAATTTCAAGAGTATTGGCATGCTATGGGGTGATGTCATTGCGATCGATAGAAGCACACTTGAAATGTCACACCTTTGCTGTGGTAAAGTCAAAATAGCAACCAAAGTAATGGAATGCATTAACCAAGTGATAACTCTGGATTGCAAAGGCACACTCCACCAGATCCGAGTTTGTGAAGAGCAAGTAGTCGTCATAGAAAACCCAAGTTTCTCTAATATTCATATGCAGGAGGTTACTTCTGTTAATGCAAGCGGGGGGGATGAGCACTCTGTTGACAATGGTGTAATCCTCAGGAAAGAAGATGATGAGGTGGCAATGAACGATGAGGTGGAGCCCGTAAGGAACTCTGGCGGTGGCGTGTGTATACAAGGAGCATTAAAGGAAAAGGAGTTGTCAGGTAATGATAGTTTGATGGCTATCTCTGTAATAAAGGAGACGGCTTGAGACTTGGAGAAGACGAGTATTGGAGACGCATGCTTGAGGGATGTGACAACCATGCCAGACAACAACGGCCTTGTTGCAGATTGTGAAAACCGATTAGTTGATGGGCTTATTTCTACTCCTGGCTTTGTGAAAAGCGTCAGTGGGTCTGATTTACCCCAGCCCAGTGTGAATCTGGAGGTGTTTTTAGGCCCAGTCCAGTTTGTTAATTCAAACCTCACCATGCCTCTAATAGTCCATGGGCCTAATAGGGTGGACCTAATAGGGTGTGCTGGCCCAACCAACTCTGGGCTGCATAATTCAAGTGCAATGGATACCTTATTACAACCCTGTCATGTTATAAGCAGAGCCGACCCAACCGTCTCTGGGTTGCATCAACCCGTAGCAGCTGCTCCCTTAATACAATCAAGCCTAAAAGGGGGGACTACTACAGCAGCAGAGGTTAGCAGTTATCACACTGCAGCAAAGCCATACCCTTCGAAAGCTCCAAAGAAATCAAAGGCCAAGGCAAATGGAGGTGCAAGATTTAACAAGGGCGTGCTTCTCAGAGCTGCCACTAAGGCACTGTCAGACTCCATCTCTTTGAGTAGTTGCTCGAGCAAAGGTAGATTCCTTCTAAATGAGGCACAAGCCACCTTACAAATTGGAAATCTTCTTGGCATTAATTGTGAAGGAAAAGAGGCCGAAGTTATTGAGAAGATCATGGAGCTTGAAACCCAAGATCTGGAAAGGAGGAAGCAGCTTGACGTCGCTAAATAGTCCTGATCCTGTAAGCTTAGGTGGTTTGGGAGCCTTAGTTTGTTTATCAATGAAGTTATTCTCTTAGAATATTAGAGGGTTGGGAAATTCGGAGAAAAGAAGGAAATTAAAGGAGCTTCTTAGAGTAAGAAAAGTAGATATTGCTTTAATTCAGGAGAACAAGAAGGCAGAGATTTCAGAATCATTTGTTAGATCCTTATGGCCTGGGGACCAGATGGAGTTCATGGCTGTTGACGCAGTAGGGAATGCAGGTGGGCTGTTGTGTATTTGGAAACCTGAGGTTTTCTCTTTGTCAGATTGTTGTTGCAGCAAGAATTTCATTTTGCTCTCAGGTATCACTTCTCTAAACTTTAGCTGTATTATTGTCAATGTTTATGCTTCTAATGATTTGCTGAAAAGGAGGAGACTGTGGGAACTATTATGCAGTCTTAGAACCACTTTCACTCATCCTTGGTGTATTGGGGGTGATTTCAATGAATTCAAAAGTATAGGGGAAATGAAGGGTTATGTCAGAAGGGATGTGGGGATGAAGGATTTCGAAAATTTTATTGAAAAAATTGGAGGGTTAGACTTACCAATGTTGGGCAGAAGATACACCTGGGGTAGTTCTCAGGATGGTGATAGGTGGAGCAGAATTGATAGGTTCATTTTAAATCCTGAGTGGCTTGAATATTTTAGGTTCAAACTTTGGGGTTTGCCTAGATCCTTGTCTGATCACTGTCCTCTGTTGCTAATGGAGGATGAGAGGGTTTGGGGTCCTAGACCCTTTAAATTTATTAACTCTTGGGCTATGCACACCATCTTTTATCAAACAGTGAAGTAAAATTGGGAGCACTTAAATTTGGAAGGCTGGGCAGGTTACATCCTAAAGAAGAAGTTACAAGCTCTTAAACTGTGTCTGAAAAAATGGAATAAGGAGGTATTTGGTAACATCAATGAAAATCTCCAGGAGAAGGAAGCTGAACTTCACTCATGGGACTTGCTAGCTGAGGTTAGAACTCTCCAAGTTGATGAATCTGCTAGAAGGATGGAATTACTAGGGGAAGTTTGGAAATTGAGAAAGATGGATGAGAGATTATGGTTACAGAAATCTAGGCTTATCTGGTCATTGAAAGGTGATAAGAACACTAGGCTCTTCCACATTACTGCCACAAACAGACATAACAGAAATTCACTGGATTCAATAGAAGTCAATGGGATCTCAGTGGTGCAACCTGTTGAAATCAAAACTGCTGTGATGAATCATTTCAAATTACTCTACTCAGAGCATTGGAAGTGTAGGCCTAAACTGGGAGGCCAATTTAATTCCATTAACATGCACAGATCCGAGTTTGTGAAGAGCAAGTAGTCGTCATTGAAAACCCAAGCTTCTCTAATATTCATTTGCAGGAGGCCTCTTCTGTTAATGCAAGCAGGGGGGATGAGCACTATGTTGACAATGGTGTAATCCTCAGGGAAGAAGATGATGAGGTGGCAATGACTGCTGAGGTGGAGCCTGTAAGGAACTCTGGCGGTGGCGTGTGTATACAAGGAGCATTAAAGGAAAAGGAGTTGTCGGGTAATGATAGTCTGATGGCTATCTCTGTAGTAAAGGAGACGGCTCGGGACTTGGAGAAGACGAGTAGTGGAGACGTATGCTTGAGGAATGATTGTGAATGAAGCACAATCTGCATTCATTGGAGGTAGAAATATAATGGATGGTGTGCTCATTGCTAATGAGATTGTAGATTGGTGGAAAAAATCAAATAAGCAAGGGGTGATTATTAAGCTTGACTTTGAAAAAGCCTTTTGACACGGTGAATTGGGAGTTCTTATTTGATTTGCTTGCAAAGTTTGGTTTTGGTTCAAAATGGCTGGGCTGGATGAAAACTTGCTTATCAACTACATGTATTTCCATCCTTGTCAATGGCTCACCTACTGATGAAATCCAACCGGAAAGAGGTCTCAGACAGGGCGATCCACTCTCACCCTTCCTCTTCAATATTGTAGCAGAGGGGTTGAATATCTTACTATCAAGAGCTAAGGTTATGCGCTTAATTAAAGGTGCTAATGTTGGACCTAATGGGCTGGAATTCACTCACTTGCAATTCGTTGATGACACCATTCTCTTTTGCGAGGCAGATTCAATGGAAATCACAACTTTAAAAAGGATACTTAGATGTTTCGAGATTATGTCAGGTCTGAAAATTAATTTCCACAAAAGTGTTGTTTGTGGTATTGGAATCTCTGAGACTTTAGTCAATGACTTCTCATCAAAACTGAACTGTCTCACTCAGAAGCTACCATTGAAGTATCTTGGTCTTCCACTTGGTGCCAATCCTAGAAGGAAAGCTACCTGGAAACCGGTTCTGGATAAATTTAAAAGTAAGCTTTCTGGATGGAAAAAAAGACTTTTATCGTTTGCTGGAAGACTCACCCTTATTAAGTCAGTTTTATCAAACCTCCCAATCTTCTACCTTTCCCTGTTTAAAATGCCAAAGGGTGTAATCAAAGAGGTGGATAAAATTCAAGCTTCTTTTCTGTGGGGCGACACCGAGGTCAAAAGAAAGGTCCACTTGGTCAATTGGAAGGTTGTCTCTATGTCACAAAATCAAGGAGGATTAGGTGTTAGAAGTTTGGGTCAAGTTAATGAGTGTTTACTTGCTAAATGGTGGTGAAGGTTTTGTAATGAAAAACAAGCCCTATGGAGAAGATTGATCTGTTGCAAGTACAGCAGCAGATCCAGTAGTTGGTTTCACTCCCAAGGTACTATTACTAATTGCTCTTGGATCTGGAAGGACATTATGGGTTTAGCTGCTGATAACCCTACCTTACTCAACTATTTCTTGGTTAACTCAGAATTGGTTGTTGGTAATGGGGCCAATATCTCATTCTGGAAGGATGGTTGGCTAGGTGGTGACTGTCTTCAATCCCTCTTTCCTAGACTATTTTGTCTTTCTTCTGATAAAGATGGTTCTCTTAAAGATTTCATGGATAGAAAAAGTAGCTACCCCAACTGGAACTTAACCTTTAGGAGACCTCTGTTGGCTTGGGAAGAGGAGGAAGTCCAAAATTTGCAAGTCCTACTGGGCAATGGGCCATTATTAAGGCATGAGGTGGAGGATGGTATGAGATGGAAAGCTTCGAATCAGGGTGCCTTTAGATCATGTGACTTATTCTGTTGGTTGCAGTCTAATAGAGGTCCAGTTGTGCCCATGCCTAAACTTATCTGGAATAACATCGCACCACCAAAAGTTCAATTTTTTTCTTGGCTGGCTTGGAAAGGCAGAATCAAAACATCTGTGTTCCTTCATAGCATTGGCGTTCTTAGAGGCGAGGCCGTTACTCATTGTCACTTTTGCAGAGAAGAACCTGAGTCCCTTAACCATGTTTTACTCCTTTGCCCCTTTACCTGGAAAATTTGGTCTGACATTATAGATTGGTGGGGTTTTCTCTGGGTATGCCCAGGCTCTGTGGTGGCCTTACTTGATTGGTGGAGTGGCACCAAAATCAGAAAGAAGGAACTCCAAATATGGAGAGCCTTACCACTTGCTGTTTTATGGTCAATTTGGAAGCTCAGGAACGACTGTGTGTTTAATAGTGCTCAACCTAACTCCCTGCAGCTTTGTGAGCTTATCAAGACTAGAGTTGCCATTTGGTTGAAGAGTCACTCTATTGGGAACTCATACTCTTATTCCATTCATGATTTTATATTTAACTTCAACCAGACCAGGAGGTGCATCTGATGAATTCTGCTTCTGTCGAGTGCTCTGTGTGTGTGTTTTGCTTCTGTGTGTGTCTTCCCTTCTTGGTTGAGGTAGTTTGCTGCGATTCCAAGAGTAAGTTCTGTGTGTATTCTGCTTCTGTTGCGTGAGCTCTGCTTCTGTGTTCTGCTTCTGCATTGTTCCTGGTGTGATTTTGGGGCATTTGGCTTCTGAGGCACCTTCCTCAATTCTGTGATCTGCTGCAGTGTGTGTTGTTTGCTGTTGCAGATGCTGTGATGTAGATGGTAGAGAGATTGAAAGTCAGAGGGTGTATGACATGGAATTATGGCTGGTCTGTTACTAGTGTAAAGGTGGAAGGTGTCTGCCACCAATATTTGGAAGGTGATGCTGGTCTGATCTGTCTGTTGGTCTGAAGCTGTGTGCTCTAGTGTGCTCCCTTGGAATTATTGGAGGTTGAAGCTGCTGTGTAGTTTGTATCAATATGGAGGTTGAAGGATTATGCTCAAGGCAGAATTGTGGCTGCTACTGTGTGGTTTGGTTTGTATCATGCTTGGTTCTGGTGCATTGATAATCTACTAATCTGGTCTTTTTATTGGAGGGTGGCATTGATGCTCTGCAGTTGGAATGGTCTGAGGCCCCTCCAGTTTGAGTTTGTACTCTACAGAAAGATCATGCTCTGCTGTGGCTGCTGCTGTGTGGATTGTATCATGTTGCTTTAGTGGTAGATCATGCTTATACTTCTGTTTAGTCAATGTATAGGTGGCTGGTCTGGTTTTCTTATTTTCTTTTCCCTTTCTCTTGCTTTCTCTGGATTGGTTTCTCGCCAATCTTGGGTCAAGTGCTAGCAGATGATTTTGCTTCCTTAGCGGTGCCAACCTAGTTGGGATTGTTAAGGCCAGCGGTGATGCTTTTGCACTTCCCTCTTTATTGATGTAAGTTTTATGCTTGTTCTGCTTTCTTCATCAATAAAGTTCTCTTTTGCTTATCAAAAAAAAAAAAAAAGATTAGTTATGTCTTTATGCAACTATTTGTCAGATACCCTTCAAAATGTCAGAGTATTGCTGTGAATGCATGCAGGATACTATAGTCCAAAACACAAGGTGATACTTGTAAATTTAGTAGCTTGTTTCTTAATAAGGATACAAGGTAAGTTGTTTTCATGTCAGTTGGGGTGCATTGGAAACTAAGGTACTGATTCACATTTTGTATACATTTAATGCATAATATCCACTTTCCTCACTTATTGAACTTAACTTGCAAGGGAAGTGTAGTGTTGAGAGCTGTATCATTTCATAAAATGTAGTATGGACATATCATTTCATGATCCTTTTGGCTATTATGGAGTTTCAATGTTTCACTTCTCTTTGGAATTTCAAGATGATGCAGTGAAGAACCTAGTGACTAAGTTACACTCTGCTAAAGCTAAGCTTGATTTGGTGACACAAACAAAATCCAAATTTGTTTTGGAGAATAGCAAGGTTCGTATATTAAATTCTGATTTCTATAGCTTGAGTGGATACACATAGATACTAAGGGTAGAGGTTTTTTTTTTTTTGGTCATTATTATTATTGTTTATTTTTTTACAGACTTTTAAGTGTTTTGAATTGCCTGAAGACTTAATGTTGCTATTCAGAGAGAACTTCACAAACCCGAGTCTGATCGCTCTTGCATACATCTGGAGTTCGATATATTGTGTACTTTTATTTTTTGGTTGTGTTTGTTGTTTGATTTTGGTTTAGAAATAATCATGTAATGTTTTTAGTTGATATATTGAAATAACAGTAAAGTTTTATCCATATTATTGTTATTTTTTTAGCTTTATTGCAATTATGTTTTTTAGTTAAGTCTAACAGAATTAGCACAATCTCAAAAAAAAAAAAAAAAAAAAGTCTATAATGGCATTTTTCCAAAACGCCATTATAGTGCCAACAGTTGTTAAGTACTAGATGACGTTATTTTACTGTTATTTACCACATTTAGCGGCATTTTTAACAACGCTGCCTATACTAATCTAACAGCGTTTTTAAAGCGTCACAATGCTATAGCAACGGTTGCGTCTTCAACGTTTGTTACTAAACGTCACAAAAAGAATTAGTGGCGTTTTTTACACTTATAACGGCATTTTTTAAACGCCATTAAATGTAAAATTTCCAGCAGTGTATAGGTCATGTTTTAATGTTTTAAATTAAATTTTATTCTCTCTCTCCTTTTTTATTTTTTGTTTCCTTACAAAATTTTATATTGAATGTTGATTTTCCATGACAAATTTTTACGAGATGACACAAAAAATGAGCTCAGGTCATTAATCCAATTTTTTAAAACTTATTTGGCAATAACTTTAGCTGCTAAACTCCTATGGCCTTAAGGACACGCATTTTCTGCTTAGAGAGATTTATTATTATATTTATTTTATGCTAAAAACCTTTAAAATCTCATAACTTGAGTTTTATGAATCTGTTTTTACCAAAATTGATACCTGTGAGTTTATTTTTTTAAGATCTTTCAAACAAAATCAAAATTGAATATGAAATTTAAAAAAGAAAAAAAGTAAATAATATAATTTTTTGATCATTGAAAATAGCAAAATAACATTTTTTTTTTTTGGTGGTGAAAGTAAGCCTCCGTTTGGGAAGTGGGTTGGCTTTTTGGCTTTTTTAGCCTGGGCTATTTTAGCCTGGTTTGGGAAGGGCTTTTTGGCTTTTTTGGCTTTTTTTGTGAGAGAGGATTGTAATGATTATGGGTTAGATTTGATGTTTTGTTTTTTGTGGCTAAAATAGCATATTTTGTTTTTTGTGGCTATTTTAGCCAAAAAAGCCTGATTTTTTGCTTGCCAAACGGAGGCTTAAGTGTTTGAAACCGTTTTGGTAATTTTAGATGGATAGATCTTGAAAAATATATGAAATCAAGAAACAATTTATTCAAAACAAAACAAACCACCAACTGTAAAGTTATGACATGTTGAACTTTCAACATCATAAACAAGTTTTATTTTAATTTTTTTAACTTGAGATACCTTTCTATCCAAATTGTGAGGATAAATAAGTTTAAAAAATTTGGATCAATAAGAAAAAAATACTAGGACGGATAGATTGAAATAATTTTTAGATAGATTAAAAATATGGGGACTTATAGGTTAAAATAATTTGGATAGGGTTCCAATATAGGTTCAAAAAATTTGCATAAATAAGTTTAAATATGCGAATAAATTAGGACTGTAAACGAACCAAGCCGCTCGCAAATAAATTAGGACTGTAAACGAACCAAGCCGTTTATGAATATACTCGAGCTCGACTCATGCCGTTATTGAACATACTCAAACTCGATTCAACTGGAATTTTAAAGGCGAACCCGAACTTAACATTGCTTGATTTGAATAGACTCGCAAGCTCACATAATTAATATTTAATATTAATATTAATATGATTATATAAAATATAATATAATTTGATGATTATTTCACCTGGAAGGTTCACATATACTTCCCACTACACGAAATTACACTTTTGCCGACTAAAAATTTGGTCGGCATAAGTCTATTTTTAGTCGGCAAAAATTATCTGCGACCAATATTTTTGGTCGCCACTTTGGTCGCCAATTGAGGGTCGCCAAAAGTAACTAGCGACCAAAACTTTTATTAGTCGGGAAAAAGTTAGATTTGCCGACTAAATTTTTAGTCGCTAAATATATCATTACTGTGACTAATCTATTTAGTCGCTAAAACACTTTAGTCACGAAAAGTGACATATTCCCGACCAAACATGTTAGTCGTCAATTGACACATTCCACGACCAAACATGTTAGTCGCCAAAAGTAATGTTTGCGCGACTAAAAGTTTAGTCGGGAATAGGCCTATTCGCGACCAAACTCTTTGGTTGTCAAAAGTTTACCGACTAATTATTTAGTCGCCAAATGTACCATTTTGCCTACCATCATTTTGGTCGGCAAAACCACACTTTGGTCGCCAACATCCAACAAAATAAACCAGTAATTGAAGACAAATATTCCATCTAATCTATTCAATATAATTTGTAATTAAAAAGAATTATTCATAACAACAAAGTATCTGAATCATGAACATTCAACGAAATACATAAATCATCCAACCCTGAACCTGTTTAATAAAAGTCAACAACTATTATAAGTTTCCATCCACAAGTAATTCCAAAATACATATTCCTCCAATTTAAATTTTTATCCATGCGCATCTATCAAAAAATATAACTACTCTACTGAAATATTTTCCATATACACCCATCCAAAAATATAACTACTAGTCTATCTAAAAATATAACTACTAGTCTATCGAAATATTTTCCATACACATTTATCCAAAAATATAACTACTAATCCATCCAAAAATATAACTACTAGTCTATCGAAATAGTTTCCATACACATTTATCCAAAAATATATAATTCTTCCAAAAATGCTTATAGCGCCAATTAGTCTTGTACAATTTAGCTTCGTGCACGAGTTCATCTATCTGTACCAAACAAAAAAGAAAAAGAATAAAAATGTCAAGAATTGAATAAGGTATATAATTTAAGTAAAACTTGTAAAGTTGAACTTACCTGAATAATGGACAAAGGGATAGAATTCACAATGATGCCCTGCGCCCTTTGCAAGAAAAAGGCTTGGACTTACTAATGATCAAGATGCCCAGCGTCCTGTGCATTAACTAAACAGAAAACCAAAGTTAATGAGGGATTATACGGTTTGTCCAAGTTTTGTTTAAGAAATTAGATAATAAAGGCATGTCAACTAGTTAAACTGTTAAAAAGTAGGATGTGAACATATCAACAAGTCAAAATCTTAAAAGCAAGATATTGGCATAACCACTCCTAATCCTACTCATGTTTCATCTTTGCTGTAAAATATTTGATATATGTGTACACTTTTCTAAATACATATTAATTGTTGAAATATTTGATCGTTTTTTAATTTTTAAACTTCCATTGGACTCTATTATTTTTTAAACTTTAATTATTTTTCCTTTATAAAATCTTATAATGGACTAAACACTAATTCTCCCAGTATGTACTAGAAGCCCATAATACCCTAATTGGTGAAATAGCCCAGTGCAATCTAAAATAATCAGGCACTACCCTAGAAATTACCCCGAAGAGAATTCAACTCACTTCGTATCATTTTGTTGCCAGTACAATAAAGTACTGGACCATTCCAATAGGTACAGAATGGGATTGACAACTATGATATCTACAGATACAAAAAATTAAAAATAAATACTAAGTGAGGAGTATCTCTGTGATTCGTAAATCCTAGGCATTATTAAGATTTCAAACATCAAAACTAATTTGCATATTATGGACGAAGGTTTCCATCACCTAAAGATAGCTCAAAATAACTTTTCCAAGCCAAAAGTAGTGCAGCAACCAAACCCAACAAAGAAAATCTAGTGTTCGCCAAGATGATGGTAAAATTTTTCATAAAAACTCAGCAAAAATTATGCCACTCTTGACAATATTCGGAAATGCTAGTTATATGTTAATTTAATTGTTATTGAGGCAGTCCCTCTGTATTTCAACCAAAAAAATGTGTTATCAATATTCTCATTTTAAAACTTAAATGTAATGCAATATTTAGAAGTCTAATGAAACAACCAGAAATATTAATTGAACAAACAAAAAAAAAAAAATGTAGCTAACATGTTAGAAATAAGACATAGCAGTTACCACTTTCATATTCCATGGCCTCGAGTCTCAATCTTTTCAAGGACTGCCTTAATAAGGTTCAGAAGCAACTCTGGTTCTATATTTGACAATTTCTTAACGACAGGCTTCCAATCATCAAATAGACTCTGCACATGAGTTGTACTATGACTGACTTGATAACTCTTTGAATCTGATCCGTTCAACAAAAGCTGTACTAAAACAGACACTACTTCTAAGGAGTAGGAAGCATATAATCGAATAAGATGTTTGAATGCCTCGGTGATCTGTTTCTTAGAACCTGAAAGAGACAACAGATCAATGAACAAGACAAAAAACAAAAAATAAAACAACATACAATATATTAGTTTTCTCAAAATTCCTTGATACATAGCAAGTCCAAAGTGGCATAGCAAGTCCAACTAATCAGATCCACAACAACAAATTCTTCCCTAGAATATGAACTCTCAATCACAGGTCTCATTAAAAAAAAGGAACAATAAAAAGACAATCAATTGGGTGCCAATTACTAACATTAAAAGACAATATGCTCATGGACGTATTCAACTCCTCTAGCTAAATTAAGGGCAATTTGCACCCTAGTAGACCATGGCAATGGGTCCCTATCTAAAAGCAACATAAGTTATACAATCATAAAACAGATTGAAATACCAAGGGATAGAATTCACACTTCATGGATGCAAAAGAAATTTTCACCTAAACCACGCATATGTTGACTTAAATTGCCATTCTCAATGAATTCATAAACTAAAACTAACGAACCCTCCACACAGTGACCTATAAAGCTCACCTACATTGAATTTTCAATAATATTAGTAACACATAAACTCAATAAAAATCAACAGCTAAACGCCATGTGAACACAAAAAAGAACCCTCAGAATTGAGAACTATGTATGATGTGTATCATGCATGTGTATGTTGTTCACAAAAAGGTCAATAGTGCAAAGAACTGATTGTTATTAAAGATTGATTAATGTACTCTAGTTTTTCAGTGCCAAGCCCTGAGGTATATGGTATGTGATACATTGGTCTCTTTTGATGCCAGTTTTTTATTTTTTTATTTTTACCATTTTATTTTATTTGTACATGACACTATATTATTTGTTTTCATTGTTTCATTAATGTTTGTTTCCAAACAAAGGAATTAATTAGGAATATTTGCATAAATAGCAGTACAAGATGGTGACAAAAATAATAATGATATATATAGCATTCTCATTTAAGAAACTACTTGAAGGGTTAATCATTTGTGATTAGTGAAATATACCACGTTGTAATCTCTAGAATGAAATAATTGCATTATTTTTTTCTTTTTAAGGGCTGTATTATAATTCTCTATATTTATATAGTTTTTAAATTCACAAAATTTAAGATTCATCATCATGAATTAAGTTATTTTGATTAAAACTCACATGGAGTTGTATGAATTAAATTATGAATCATAATATTCTAACAACCACGGACACAGTCACATTATTTTGAATGGATTTTTTGTATGAAATTTTTGTGTTTGTGAATCATTTTCACTAATTAGCTCAACAATGGATGGTGAACTTCACTATTTGAAGATGAAATAGACACTTTGGACCTCCAACAATCAAACCAACCTTTTGGGTTTTGATGCAGGTCCAAAATGAAAAGGCCTTAATATCTTGGTTTTAGTTGATTGAAAAGAAAATCAACTGAAATGGAAGACTTTAGCTCTTCATAGCTGACACTAAGTGAGGGCAGACAAAGAAATGTGATTTTCCTCTTTCGTACTGTAAATCAAAATCCATATTCATATATGTTTGAATAGAGAGCTCAACAATAGTAAGAAAGGTTTGTGTTTTGAAACCCGAAGACATTGTTTTCCCTCAAGTGGCTGAAGTCTAAACTTAAGAGAGTTGTTAAGAAAGGCCATGATTGTGAAGAGGTCACTGAGACACAGGAGTTTACTAAAGTTTTTATTGGGAAGGTATTGAAATTTAAGTTCTAAATCACACACACACACAAACATATATATATATATATATGTAACATTGCGAATTTGGAATTTTTTATCTTAATTCTTGCTACATTTTAGGTCCCAATAATGCTCCAGTCAAGCTATTGTTGTTTGTATCAGACCTCAGAGAAGGATTTGACTGAACTTGGAGAGTGTGCATTTGATCAAGGTCGGTATTTCATTATCAATGGGAGTGAAAAGGTTTTGATTGCTTAGGAGAAGATGAGCACCAACCATGTCTATGTGTTTAAGAAAAGGCAGCCTAACAAGTATGCTTTTGTGGCCGAGGTTCGGTCTATGGCAGAGTCCCAAAACAGGCCACCCAGTAGCATGTTTGTCAGGATGCTTTCTACCACAAGTGCCAAAGGGGTAAGCAAAGCATTGGTTTAGGGACACTTAAAAACATGTCCCTAGCATTGTTAAAGGAGTATTAGTGTTGGCAGCACTGCATTAGTCCTTGTGGAGTATTGCAAACACTACATTATGTGCACTTTTATGGAAAATTTGTGTTTTTATTGTTTTCCTTTGCAATTCGGATGATGTGAGGAATATTTCATTGCAAGTAAATGCAAGGATCTTCAGGGCAATATATCTGTGCTACCCTTCTGTACATAAGGACTGAAATCCCAATTGTAGTTGTATTCAGGGCATTGGGATTTGTTACAGACAAGGACATATTAGAGCACATATGTTATGAATTTTCTGGTTTTCAAATGACGGCTTTACTTCGTCCTTCCTTGGAAGAGGCATTTGTGATTCAAAATCAACAGGTATTTATTTTGGTACAGTCTCATCATTTAGTCTTCATTTAGCTGAATGGACAGTTGTTTCTCTTTGCCGTTGCAGGTTGCATTAGACTATATTGGGAAAAGAGGATCTACTGCGGGTGTCACACGAGATAAGAGGATTAAGTGAACAAACTTGTTGCTCGGTTCATATAGTCATAGTTGATTCTTAGCTAACTTGCTTGTCTATTTTGTAGATTTACTTCGTCCTTCCTTGGAAGAGGCATTTGTGATTCAAAATCAACAGGTATTTATTTTGGTACAGTCTCATCATTTAGTCTTCATTTAGCTGAATGGACAGTTGTTTCTCTTTGCCGTTGCAGGTTGCATTAGACTATATTGGAAAAAGAGGATCTACTGCAGGTGTCACACGAGATAAGAGGATTAAGTGAACAAACTTGTTGCTCGGTTCATATAGTCATATTTGATTCTTAGCTAACTTGCTTGTCTATTTTGTAGATATGCCAAAGAAATCCTTCAAAGAGAAATGCTTCCACATGTTGGTATCGGGGAGTATTGTGAAACTAAGAAGGCTACTATTTTGGGTATGTTTAGTTTAGGACTCATATTGGGACTCATATTCCAGAAATTGTTACCGATTGCTCTTAATTTCACTAGGTATATTATTCATCGGCTTTTACTTTGTGCCCTTGGTCAAAGGCCAGAAGATGATAGGGATCACTATGCAAATAAGAGACTAGACCTTACAGGTCCTTTACTCGGAGGCTTGTTCCGAATGGTCCTTTATCTGTAACCTCTTTGGATATTATGGCAATTTGAAGGCTCAAATATTTCTGATTGTCATTAATGTGAACTTAAATTGATGCAGTTATTCAGAAAGTTAACCAGGGATGTGAGTTCCATGTTCAGAAGGCAAAAGTGGTCGGCAAATGTGTATTTTGTTGTAGTGTGATATGGGGTTGAAGTTTTATCTGTCCATCACTAATTTCTACTCCTAGAAACTTGATATATTTTTTTTATCAATTTCTATTTTAGACTTATAATAATACCATGTTCAACAAAGAGTTTAAATACTTGTTGAAGATGATGGCAATGTTCTTTTTCATTTTTACTGAATACAAGAATATCATCTATGTAAACTAAGACAAACTTCCTATATTCACCAAAAATCTTATCCATTTTCCTTTGGAAAACAGATGGATGGAATTCAAAAGTTGGTCTTTTCCAGGGACATCATAGCCTACTTTCTCTGTGTTATCATTGAGTAGATACTCAGATTGGCCTTTATAATGCTATCAAGATAGAAGTCAATAAGATTAGTATGTTTGATACCTTACCAAGTAAAACAGACATTAGAGATGTTATAACAATGATAAATGATAAACCTAAGCAAATTGAAATTGAGACAAAAAATTTGTTAGGATATATTAGCACGCAGTCTAAATATCTTGAAGACAAGTGTAATTTCTTACAAAGACAAATGGGTATATTAGCATCCCAAAATACTGAAACAAAAAGGTTAGTCAAAACATTAGAAGAATTGGTAACTAGAGAAACCACGAGAATAGAAGACTGAGTTATTAGCAGTAGCTAAAGGATGAGTGAATTTGGAACTTTTTATGATGAAAGTTTAAGAGAAGCTTCTGGTTATAAAATAGATAATTATGGACCAGAAGGCATAAAAACATATCCATCAAAGAATGAAGTTGATAAAAGGATATTATTACAAAATAATTTGTTAATTTTAATGATGATTAGGATGAACAAAGATTATACCAAAAAATGAGATTAATTAAGAATAACATGGCAACTTTAGCTAACATAAGTAAATTTAATAAAGGCACTCTTAAAAGTAGAATAGATAATAAGAAAAAGAAACAGAGCAAGATTCCATCAATTCCATCAAAAGAAATACATAATAAGAAACAGAGCAAGATTCAATTTTCAAAGCACAGATCAAGTCAACCGTAGTAACAGTAAGTCCACAAGCAATTCCAGATCTCTGACAAAACAAGAGAAATTGAAAACAAAAAAATAGATCTCAGAAATGGATCATCAAAGTACTCACCACCAAAACGCAAGGCAACAATCTGCATCAAAAACAAACCAAAATTAATACCATATTAGAGTACAGAAGTGAGTGAGAGAGAGAGAGAGAGAGAGAGAGAGAGAGAGAGTACATGGAGTGTCGACCTGAATGGTGCCATGAGATTGGTGTGCCAGAGCTTACAGTAGTTCTAGCGAAGCTGCATCTTGTCCAGATGCTCTTGCGACGCCATTGACATCTTCGAAGAGCTCAAAAACCAGGAAACCCTAGCTGATGATGAAGAGAAAGAAGATGAAGATTTTCGAAAACACTTTTGAAAAACACCCAAAGCACTAGGCCCATTCCTACAACTTTGGGTAATCTAAGCTGGTTCATGTTTTCTAAGCTATTTTTTGGACCAGCTAGGCATTTGAGAGATCTGTGTGAAGTAGCAATCGAGCGCGACTCCAACAATGCAAGCGCGTTTGGTCGATTTCACGGCGATTTGGGGCTCGAGAGGGAGTGAGAGGACTTCTATCGAGGGTTGAGATTGAGCGGTTAGGTTAGGGTTTTGCTTGTTTCGAGGGGTGTGGTAGAGAGAACGTTGAGAGAGAGCAGGAATCGAGACGAGGACTCAAATCTGATTCAGATCTCGACGATCTATCGGATCTGGCGGAGGCACCAGTGGAGGAGAAGGAGGATGAGCCCAGCTGGTGCGGTGGGTGTTTAGGAGAGAGAGAGAGAGAGAGAGAGGGGCACCAGCAGTGAGGTGGGGGTGATTGAGAATATGTGTGAGAGGGAGAACAATCTGATTTGTTTAAACAGAGAACATGCAGCGACAATTGGTTTCTCTCTAAAATTTTCACAACTTTAGCCACAAAACTAGTTTTTGGTCGGCAAATGTTAATAATTGGTGGCTAAAATTTTATTGTAGCCAAAGCTTAATTAATGGCGACTAAAATATTAGTCGCCAAAAGTATTAATTTGGCGACTAACTTTTTTTTGGTTGGAAAAAATAACTATACGATGGTTTTTTTTTTTGGTCGCTAAAAATAAGTTTTTAGTGACCAAAATTTTGATCGCCAAAGATAAAAAATAATTTTTTATTTTCCATTCAGCGACTAAATAATTTTAGTAGCTGAAACTCAATATACGGTGACTAAAATATTTTTAGTCACTGAAAATAAGTTTTTGGCGACCAAAGATAAAAAATAATTTTTTATTTTCCATTCAGAGACTACATAGTTTTAGTAGCCAAAACTCAATATACGGTGACTAAAATGTTTTTAGTCGCTAAAAATAAGTTTTTTGGCGACCAAAATTTTAGTTGCCAAAAGATAAAAAATAATTTTTTATTTTCCATTCGGTGACTACATTGTTTTAGTAGCCAAAACTCAATATACGGCGACTAAAATATTTTTTGTCGCTGAAAATAAGTTTTTGGCGACCAAACTTTTGGTCGCCAATTCCACAACCAACTTATTTTTGATCTTCCGCGACCAACTTATTTTTTGGTCCCTAAAATGTGACCTTCCACGACCAAATTTATAGTTGGTCGCCAACACCATACCATTTTTTGCGACCAACTCATTTTTTGGTCGCCAAAATATGACCTTCTGCGACCAACTCATATTTGATCGCCAAAAATAATGATCATTCGCGACTAATTAATATTTGGTCGCCAAAAGATAACTTTTAGTTACCAACTTTTATATTGGTCGCGGAAAGTGATCGCTAAAAGTGCAGATTATTGTAGTGTCCACTGTTTGGAATATTAGTTTAGTAGCTTTGAATAAATATAAAGAATAACTCTACCTTTTATAGGCATTGGACTTGTTATGGTTTCTTTGTTTATTTGATATGGGAATAAAGTTTGTGAGCTATTACACGCAGAACAACCCATTTGGTGGGTCTATTGAAATTTTTTAAAGGGAGCAACTCCAAGAGAAGAGACATATTAGTCTTGCTAGTTATTTTAGCTAATATTATCCTAAATTCTCACTCTAAAGGGACGGCTAAAGGGCTTCCTATTTTCCCTCGTCCCTTCTCTGCTGGCTTCAATTGGAGAGTGATTGAAGGCTCTTCAAACTCATCTCTCCCGCGAAATCGATCTGCTCCTTCTCCAAACACGTCTCTCCCGCAAAATCAATCTACTCCTTCTCCAAACTCGTCTCTCCCGTGAAATCGATCTACACTTTCAACATGAAATTGATCTTCTCATTCAGCGTTGTCTGCAACTTCCTCTATCTGACCTCTTCGTCAAGGCATGAATCCTTCTATCTCTGTCTTCCCCTTCTATGCAACTCATTGACCCTCTCTCTCTCTCTCTCTCTCTCTCTCTCTCTCTCTCTCTCTCTCTCTTCAACTCTTCCCTTCCCACACCTGCAAAACCCAAAATTGAAACCCCTATCTGTGTTCATTCTCTGCATGTTCGTTTCTTGGTTTAAATCTTTTTTTTTTTTTTTAAATTCAATTATCTTAAGACACCAATTTGATGGGTTTTGGAAAAGATCAAATTGGGTTTGTTTTCCTTTTATTTAGTTCTTTGATTTGTAGGTTATGTTTATGTGTTTTAATTGGGTTTTGAGAAACATTTCTGTGAAATTTTGAGGTGGTGTTACCCTATTTCCTTGAATATAGGTGATGTTTAGTTTATGAATTTTACTTTCAATGATCAACAATCAGGACAGAGATAAAATTAATTTAGGTATGTGATGGCTTAAATTCAATGTGCCTGAAACTTGAAAGTTAAGTTTGAGTGGATGAATCCTTTTCATTCCTCTTATTTTTAAGTTTTAATTGACTTGACTAAATACCTCCACACAATCATTTTCAGTTGTTTTCAGTTGATTCATGATACCAGTTAATTGAATGTTTCCGGCAAGCAAACATTTAAAAGCTTCCAAATTATGCCTTAAATATTGCAAAATGTACTATGACAGTCATGCTTCTCATTTCTTTTCTTTTTTTTTTTCAGTTTCTTAATTTGTTGAAAATAAACAAAATATACTGCAGTTATTATTCATTGGAAACTAAAAATTAATGTCATATTTTATGTATTTAGAAATTCATTGATGTTCTCTTCTCTGCTGTGTTGTTAAATAAATGTGCATTACCTTCAAACTTTATATATTCCAGCACAAATTAATTTGTTATGTATGTAGTGGCATTGCTGTCTCTATGGTCATGAAGTCTGCTGACAATATTGTGAAGGTGTGGCTACAAATATTGCTTTGCATTAAATCATAGTTGTATTAATTCATCTATTTTGTGCCTGCATAATGTGCTGAATCATGCTTGGGCATATATCAGCAACATTTGTTCTTTTTATGATACAAAGAATAGAACTAGGATATTGGCTGGAAGAAATAGCTAATTTGTCAGTTCAACGTATGATTTGATATGGTATTTGTTTCCAAACCGATTTGCAACTTACAAGAGAAGGTTCTATACCATATACCTACATTGTTGGGGTGGTGCAAGTTGCAATTTGATGCTTTTTAGTTTTGAATGCTTGAGAAAAAACTTAAAATTTCCCCACCATTTTTAAACCGTAGTTTCCAAAACCTATTGGTAGCAGTTGGGACCTAGGCTAACAGATGGTCAAGTTCCTACTAAATTTATGAATTTTTCATATTGTATTTGTCCAAAAAAGGTTTTATTTATTTAGTTTTTATTTTCCTTTCACTGTTTTTGGGTTTATCCTACAATCCAAAGTTTTTTGACATTGGGAACTCTCCTATATTTCCAGTTAAATCCTTATATTTTTCTTGTATCAGTACACACTAAGAAGCAACATGTTATATTATTTTGATTACTGAGTTACATGCATTAATGCTTCATGCCTCAACTTAGAGAAAGTACAAGGAACAAAGAATCACGAGGAACAAAGGACGGGGTATGGCTATTGGTTTATGAGAATTTTGATAGAGCAACCTGAAAACTAATGAACAATGAATGGGGTTTGTTTAGGAGACCTTGTTTAGTATTCATAATTTTTCTTTTTCTTTTTTAAGATGAAAAAATTGTTACAGGGTGGATTCATGTTACATAAATAAAAATTTACAAGCATATTGATATAATATCATGTTGTCATTTTCCAATTTTATAGTCTGACAAACGTAAGTTCCTTGCAGCAATAACTATGTTGTTACTGCTTTTGTTAGCTCAGTCATAACTCTTAGGTTGTCCATTTTTTTGGATCTGTGAAAATGATGGATTCATTGATTGAATCAGGTCTGTCATGTAATTATATTTTATAGAAAAAGGCATGCAGTATGCAATTTATTTGAATCTCTTGCTTAGCTGTTGGGATTGAATCTTGCAGGTGTATTCTACTTTAGTGGCAATGCTGTTGACAGCGGTTATTTCTGTGTTTCTATTTGGGTTTCATCTCTCCCTCTCATTTTTCCTTGGCTCTACGAAAGTTCCTCTAGGTTTATTATGTCCGGGCCTTTTTCTTAGTTATTCAATAGATTTCTGTTCAGAAGTTTGATGTTTTTGGATGCATTTGGACATTAATGCTGTGTCCTCAACTCTTCACTCCTGCCATGTTCATGACATGCATTGGGACTAACATTTTTTTCTCCCATTATTATGATGGAAGCAGCGTTGTGTCTATCTCGGTATATTTACACTCCATTGGGAAGCTGTAAAGATAGTGAGGACCTGCTTTCTTCCAACCAAATTGCGCTGTCAATGTAGAGGCTAATATTCGGCAAAACTTTTTTTGTTTTTGATTTGTTTTCAGACTGATTCTCTTGAATTTCTAGTTCAAATCTTGGTTTAGATAGGCATGTGATGAAGATATTTCTTTTAATGCAATATCTTTGACGTTGTAGAAAATAATTTTTTGCAGTGTTGACAGTTGAACATTGAAGGTTAATATAGGAATTTATTAGTGTAATAAATTCCCGTTTGCGCTTGCCTTTTTAGATTTTTAATCCTGACCGCAGATCTGGGCGCGGAGCGGAGACGCTAGCCGACAACACACCACAAAATACGGAAGGGAGCACCAATCGGGGGACGACACGTGGCGCGGGGGCGAGCGTCCTAGGTAATGTTAGTGGGACGCTCCTGGGCACCTATATAACTAACTCCCTAACTCTCTTCCACCAGTAAAGTTTTCAAAGAGTTACTTGCGTCATCCGAGAGAGTAAGTGACGTCATTGCGAGTGAGTTATGGCCTCAACGCGACGTCATTTTAGAGTTCAAAGCAAGAGCATCCCTCACATATGCCCAATGTTCTATACCTAAAGAGAGATTGTTAGAGAAAATTAGAGCGCTGTTCACAACCAGGCCACCAAATTATGTGAGGGTTGCACATGAATTACACGAGGACGGGCAACCACATCTCCATGCCCTTGTCCAATTTCCATACTGTTTTCAAACGCAGAATGAACGGTTCTTCGACTTTACTCACGATCGATCTAGTCGCCATTTCCATCCGAATGTACAAGGGGCCTACAACCAACAGAATATGTTGGAATACATCTCCAAACATGGGGGATTACACGGAATGGGGTGAATTCCGTGAGAGGAGCCGCTGCGCTAACCAGAGTAACAAAGAAATATATATCGCGATGCACTTGCCGTCGGCACCAAGGACGAAGCACTAGCACTGGTACGAAATGGCGATCCAAAATGTTTCTGGTTAAATTATGACAAGTTGCCATCCAATTATGACCGGATTTCAGTTAATCCACCATTGACGTATGTTCATCCATTTACAGACACAGTATGGATCGTTCCAACAGCCATACGGCAATGGGTTACAGACAATATAAGAGATAAAGCCCAAAGACC